GGTCTAGCCAGATTTGTAAGGTAGAATTGGGATCATGATAGTGGGGTGGAGGAAGCATTTAAGAACTAGAGGAAAGTTGTATGTTTCATTGTTGCTACATCGCACCCTGACTGGCTTGTCTCCTCCCCGCCGATTCACTTCTTTTTGTATGATTGAGACCATACAATGTTTGTCCTCTCTGATTTACTTATTTCTCTCAGCATATTGTCTTCAAGCTCCATCATATTGTAGCATGTATCAAGAATTCATTTCTCTTATTGACTGAATGGTTAGCCATTTGTATATGCATACTACATTTTGTTTACCCATTCCTCCATTGATGGGCAATTGTTTTTCCCCTATCTCTTGGCTATGAGTAATGCTATAATGGACATTGGTGTTCAAGTATCTGTTGGATTTTCTGCTTTCAGTCTTTTTGTATACATACTTAGGAGTGGAATTGCTGGGCCTTAAGAAGCCTGGTTGCACTGTGGTTAAAGGGGTTGCTTGTTAACCAGAAAGTCAGCAGTTTGGACCCACAAGCCGCGCCACAGGAGGAAGATGTGGCAGCCTGCTTCCATAAAGATTCATCATCTCGGAAACCTTATGCGGCAGTTATACCTATTCTGTAGGGAGGCCATGAGTTCAAAACCGCAAGAGGTCTATTTGGTAGTACTGCTTGCAGTTTTTTGAGGATTTAGCACATTGTTTTCCACAGTTGTACCGTTTGCATTCTTATCAGCAGGGGATAAGAGTCACCGTTTCCCTACAACTATGCCTATGCTATCTTCTCCTCCTCCTCCTCCTCCTCCTTTTAGCCACCGTGAAGGCTTAAAAAAAATCACTGTTCCTCTTTGCCTTCTGCACTCTTTACCTGCCTGCCTCTCAGTCTCTTTCAAAACTTATTTTGAGTATTCTGAAAATCGTCTCTATGCTTTCTCTCCTTTTACTTAGAGACCTACTGCTTATTTCACTTGCACTGCCCTTCCCTTATGTTTCTTGTCAGATCTTGTATGAAGTTGTACATATCGTGCCCTTAATGACAGGAAACCAAGATCAGATATCACTCAGTCATCTCATCTCATAGAGAATCTAATGTTCTCCAAGTAATGTCTCAATGAATACTTGTCATTTTAATCTCACTGGAGCCTTATAGGTTAGTTACCTAACTGACATGGATGATGTCTATCACACAGAGAATTAAGGACTCATTCCAGATTCACAATCCATGTCCCCTAAGTGTCCTCTGCCTTTCCACTTAATTTGGTTTAAAAAAGCCACTTTGGCTGACTTTCAAGTATTATTTTTCCCCATCTTTTGAGTGGTGTGCCTAAAGTTTTACCAAACAAGAGATTGGGAGTTTAGCCCTACCTCTTACTCCTCACTCTGCTGCCCATATGCACCAAAGCTGCTGCACACAAAGGAGTTCGGGACCCAATGCCAGTCCCTGGAACTCCGCTGCCACAAGTCATCCTGGTCATCTCTAAGTCATACAAAACCAAACAGGACCCCGGCCCAAACTAGGTCCACCACCCCGTTATGATTCCTGGTGACACCGTGTGGCCCCACAGTAGAACTCTGTTCTGTAGGGTCTGCAGAGACTGACTTTTGGGAAATCGATCTTGGGCCTTTTTTCCAAGGTGCCCCTGCATGGATTTGAACTTCAAACCTTTCAATAAGGAGCAGTGTACATTGATTGTACCATCTAGGGACTTCAGGAGATTTCCTAAGATTGAGCTCCACTTGGCTGTTTTCTAAGGACAGGTCGGGATCACTGTGAGAATAGCCATCTGTGTCTTTTCCGTCAGGCGCTCCACCTCAGTAACTCGGCCATGGGGAAGACCACTACAGGGCAGATTGTTAATCTGCTCTCCAACGATGTGAACAAGTTTGATCAGGTAAGTGGGTGTGGACGGCTTCCCTTTCTCTCTGTGCCCTTTTGAATTTGAACCTACTGCAGTGTCACGGGTGAGTTGCTGGCATAGACCAGGATTCTTTTGAGGACATGAAACAAGGTTTGTTTGTTTTTTAAATTGTTACTCAAATAGCACTTTTTTTCATGTATGACTTGCAAATAATGATCTGTGTTGTCCTATAGATTAGGCTTTTATTCTTCGAATACTTCTTACAACATGTGTCCATCATAAAAAGCCAAACAGAACCACTGCCATTGAGTCAGTTTTGATTCATGCTGTTCTTGGGGTTTCAGAGAGTAACCTCTTCTTTTTAAAATAAAATCTTTATTTGCAAGCATCAGAAAACAACAGGGCAATCTTCAGACCTAAATATGTACAGACTCTTTTGAGTGCCAGGGCACTCAAGTCTGTGGGCCACCCTCGCTCGGGCAACCACAACTAGGCCCCTAGCTGCTGGGTCACCATGTGTTCCTTTGAGACAGTCTTCATGAGGACAGGCAGCCTTTTTTTCCCACTCACCCGGTATGGCCGGTGGGTTTGGACGTGGGGTTTGCTGATCTTGTGAGCAGCAGCCTGATTCATAACCCAGGATGCCATCAGCGCTCCCGGAACATTGAGGAGGCAGCAAATAGGCAGAGGGCAGTGTCTTCACGTACTTAGTAGTTCTTGTGTGCCCTTCTTCACTCTCAGCACACGGAGCTGCCTGTGCCTGCCGAATTGTTTTCCTTTTTCCATAAATTTGAACTTGTGGTAGGTTATCAACTAGCCGAAACTAGTTGCCATTGAGTCGATGACCCCACGTGTGTCAGAGTGCTCCCCAGAGCTTTAGATAGGTCATCGTTGCTTTCCCTAGACCTATGATTCGAGCAAGCCTACCTATGTAATGCTGCATAAGTGGTTCCTAGCCAGCAGTAACCTTACTCTGCTCTACTGCATCACTCCTGTCCGTTTCAAAGCCTGCATGGATCTAATGCATTATTCGAGCTGCTGGTCAGACCCCCATAGTGTACAAGGGCTACATCTCATTCACTGATTAATTCATCAAGCTTGAACTAACGCCTCCTTGGCTTCTTCACTTGAGAATGTGGTAGGCACCGTAATAAGAGTTTCCAGGGTGCTGGGAACCACTGGGGGAAGGTAAAGGCCGAGTTTTGTGGCAAAGAGCTGCAAGCCTTGAGCTCATCTGTGAAATAAACAAAATCAGAGTGTTCCTGCCAGTGATGCTGCCCAGTCTACCTGAAGCCTGCCCCTCATTGTGCCTTAGGGGCGCCACCTGCAGTAGAGACTCGGCTCTTTCCTTGATTGGGTGTAATGCCAACTGTGATAGTTTCTGTTGAGCTTGGTTGGTTGTTTGTATTGATCAGATTATTTCTTTGTTGGGCTTTTACTGTGTTTGTTTTTAAAAATCCAGGCCTGAAAACTTTGCCCTTTTCTTTTAAGGTGACGATATTTTTACACTTTCTGTGGGCAGGACCACTGCAGGCCATTGCAGTGACTGCCCTACTCTGGATGGAGATTGGGATATCATGTCTCGCCGGAATGGCAGTTATAATTGTCCTCCTGCCTTTGCAAAGCTGCATTGGGAAGTTGTTTTCGTCGCTGCGGTAAGAGAAAAGACTAATTTGAAAAAACAGAAGTGCCCGTGTTTGGTAGTACCCACCGCCTGCCTCTCATTATCTCTTCATTGCAAATGCTGCAGACACTGCGGCTCAGTGTAAGGCTGAAGGCTAATCTTTAAGTAGGAAAAGTACAGGCATTCACTGGCTCTTCCCAGCAGGCTTCCCAGGGCCTGCATCCTCCCTAAGTAGCATGTCCATAAGCAGCATTTGGAGTCCCTGATTGGTGCTGTTGGGTAAAAGATTTGGACTGCTAATCTTCAAGGTTGGCAGTTCAAACCCACCAGCTGCTTCACAGCAGACAGACCAGGTTATCTGCTCCCATAAAGATCTCCGGCCTCACATGCCGACCCCACCACGGCGCACCAAACATTGAGGGCAACCTAACCATGTGGAGCAGTGCATGAAAAAAGAGTAGACTACAGGACAGGTCCCAATCAGAGCCGAACTGACCCCCTCCCTAGAAGTATGCTACAGAGGGAATAGGAAACTTACAGGTTGGGGAGAGAGGTTGTCTTGCTATGCCTACATGGAAGCAAAAAAAAAAAAAAAAAAGATCTCCGCTCTCAGAGACTCACTGATAGGGTTCTTATGAGTCAGAATGGGCTTAATGGCTGTGGGCTTGATTTTGGGTCGCTAACTGCTCAAAATCAACTGCTAACCAAGAGTCCGCCCAGTGGCACCATAGAAGAAGGGATCAGCCATGAAAACCTGACCCAGATTAGTTCCACTCTGACAAACATGGGGTTGTCACACCACGAATCGGAGTCGACTCCATAGCAGCTGTTTATTCATTTTTAGGTGCCGTCAAGCCTGTTTTGACTAATAGCAACCCTGTGTCCAACAGAACAAACCACTACCCTGCCTGGCACCATCCTCATAATCATTGCTATGCTGGGCAACTGATTAGTTAAGCAAATTTTACATTTGTAGAAATGATGCAAGCAATATCTGTTAAGTAATAGCAAATTTAACTATTTTATATACCCAACTACCGCTTTTTATATGTCTGCTATATTTGTGTTCAAGAGCTGGAGATGGGTCTATAAAATAGTTACATTTACTGTTAGCAGGTCATGTCTGCATAGTTTCAGAATTAAAATGATAAAAACAGTATGCCTGCCATGGTTGTGTTGGCTGAGACAGGACTTTCTGTTCCTGAAAAGAGCTGCGCTCTCGGACACTGACAGGGACCCTTCTACCCTGTCCTATGAGGTCCCTATGCGCTGGCATCGACTTGGCAGCAGTGAGTTTGTTTTTCGGTTATGTTTGTGTTTTATAGCTCTCTGTGCGGGCTGGTGTGAGGGAGAGGGTGGAGGATTATTTTCATAAAGTGAGGGCTAGGTCAGTCTTAATTACGTCTCTGTAAAGATCCAAAGTTCTTAGCAGAATGTGGGCTAGGAAAGGGGCTGTGGATTAGGATCTGGGACGTAAAGCAGTTCCCAGAGCGTTGGACCTGGATGGGTGGGTAATAACTGTCATCAGTGGGATGGCGGTGTGCTGTGTGTGGTGCATTGAATTCATTCTTCTGAGCCTTTACTCATGGGTTTTGCTTTGCTTTTCATATTTGGAATTTATTTCTCCCTTTATCCTTTGGAAAAATGTTCCTCGGGGGCCAGTTGACATGCTCCCTGTACTCTGAAACTGTTCTTGCCTTTCCCATTTCCAACAGAATTTAATCGCCGCTCCTGTTCTGCGTCCCCACAGTATTCCTGTCCTGTTACGGCACAGCTACACCGTGTCTTGTTAGATGTGGGTACATCTCTGCTTCATTACCCAGCGTGAGCTCCTTGAGGGGACAGGTTGCGTCTTAACTCATTTTCTTATCTTCCTCAGCACATACTGCAAGTTCTCCAAAATATTTATTGAATTAGAAAAAACTGTTGACTTCCTAATTGAAGTCTTTCTCTGTTTGTATTTTGAGTAGGATCTGCCCGCTTTGTCTGAGTGAAGGAGCTTTAGGGAATCATTTGATCCATGGTCTCTGCCTGAGCTTGTTCTGATAAGGGCAGTTAGGCTGGGCCCCTATGGCTCATCTCTGCCGTCTCTCCCCTTAGGAGCAAGACTGCAACTTTCACGGACATCAGGATCAGGACCATGAATGAAGTTATAACTGGCATCAGAATTATAAAAATGTATGCTTGGGAAAAGTCATTTGCAGACCTCATTACCAGTTTGAGAAGGTAAGTTTATGTATATACTATACCCTGTTTTCACATTCTTTTCTCTCCTGTTTCTGTTGAATAATATTAGGAGTTGAATTATGCCTTTATGTTATAGTGAACTTAAATACTCTGGACCCCATCCCTACGTATATGCCACAGGATGGCTAAGTAGAATGGAATTTTGTCCCCCCAAAGTATGTGTCAACTTGGCTAGACCATGATTCTCAGTGGTATGGCAGTTAGCAGTGCTGTAATTTGGCAAGTATTTACGTAATGTTGTAACCATTCTCCTGATGTGATCTGGTGTGATCAACCAATCAGTTGCATGGGAATTATGGTTGGATATTGTCAGGTGTCTTTGAGCAAGTTCTGCCTTACAGCAACCCTGGTACAACAGAAAGAAATGCTGCATGGTCCTTCACTTTCCTCACAATTGTTACATTTGAGCCTATTGTTGTAGCTATTGTGCCGATGTATCTCCCTGATGCAGCTCCATTATCCAGAATGGTCCTCATCTGATCTACGTGTGGTCTGTTCTCCTGGGATGTGTCCTGCATCACAGTTTATTGTACGTGAGAAGGAACCTGAGAATCACCAAGAAAGAAGAGCTGTGACCGAGGCACATCCCTTGGATTGGGACGCCCTGCTCTGAGAACGTCTTAGGAAAGTTGATGTCAAGACACATGTAGCTCTCCCATGAATAGCAGGTTTTCAGATGCTGGACAGAGACAAGAACCTTGTCCAATGCTGACAGAGAGGAGAAAGTCATCCTCTGAAGCTGGCACCCTGGATTTGGATATCTAACACCCTAAGCTGGGAGAGAGTTAACTCTCTTTTTGTTTCAGCTAGCCACCTGTGGTGGCAGGGCTAGTGAACTATAGCAAAATTTGGTACCAGAAGAGTGGGACTCCCCTCTAACGGATACTTACATGTGGAAGCTGTTTGGAATTGGGTGATGAGTAGAAGCAAGCCCTTTAAGGTACCTAGGAGGTAAAGACCCAGATTGCTGAGAAGAGGTGTTTGGTTGTATTCTGAATGCCAAAGGCAATTCTGGTGAGGGTTCAGAAGGAAGCGGGAGAGTGTGACCCTGGAGACAGCCCAGGCCCCAAGAGGCAGACAAAGAGAAACAGCAGTAGCGGAACCAGGTACGTGGTAGGAGCCAACCCATGGAGCAAGAGAGCTGAGTGCCTCTGGGCAGGACGCTTCCTGATTAGGCTTGCTGCCCTGTGCATTGAAAGAGCTGAGCTGCTTTCAGGCCCAGGCTTACTGGTCGACTCGCATGTCCCCAGGCACTGAAAGAGACTTGTAGCCCTTACTTGAGCAGGGCAGTGGCTGAGCAGACATCAAAGAGGCCAAAGAACTAAGGAACTAAAGGACCAAAGGCTAAAGGACTAAGTAGACACACCTCGGTCTCAGAGTGTAGGGTCCTGACCTCTGGAGTCTCAAAGGGTAGACTCACAGCCTGCTGGGTCTCAAAGAGTGGGGCCACACTCCCCTGGATTTCAAAAAGGCAGATCATCACCAATTTGGCTCTGGAGTGTGGGGCTCCCATTTATGACTTCCAGGGCATTGAATGTGGAACCACTGTTCAATGTTGGGAGTAGGAGGCAGGGCTGCCATGCACAAAGGGTAGATGCATGGGGCTTGGTGGGGACAGGGGGATGAGGTCGCCACCATCTACACTAGAAGAATGGGGCTGCCCAAAGCCAGAAGAGCAGAATTGGTATTCCGTTGGGCTGGCAAAGTGGATTAGAAGCCCAGGGTACAAGGGGCCTCAATCCAGAATACAGAGACCATGAGCAACCGCCGGAGTCTGGAGGACAGGGTTGTGGCTTGGCCAACCCCTGAGACCTAATGTCAGTCTTCTCTCTAGGCTTCTGACTTGCTTGTGTCTATTGTGCCCTCCCCTCTTTTCTAACGCTTTTATTAGCACTGCATCCTCAGGTCTTAAAATTCAGTAATGCACTCCTATCAAGAAGAGTTGTACAATGATCACCATGTTCCATGCTAGGACATATTCTTTCTTGAACTCATTGTTTATGTAATTTTTTTCTCATTGTGGAAAAAAATATACACACAACACATTGTCCAATTCAATAACTTGCACATGTATAATTTAGTTCCATTGACTGTACTTTTCATGTTGTACAGCCATTATTGATATCCTTTTCTAAATTATTCCACCACCAGTGATATAAACTCAATGCCCTCTAAGCAACCACTTATTCTCCTTCACCCATTGTAGCTGTGATAGCTACATATTTTCATGCCAACATGAAGATGCATGAAAGTGCAGGGGTGGTAATCAACCTGTCGGGTCACTGTGGCCTGATGATTCTCCCTGTGGGCGTGGCCTTCTCATAAGGAGGGCCCTGGGAACCTCCCCTTCTCTGCCTTCACCTTCCTGCTGGCGGACCGTGGTTGCTTCAAGCCCTGTGTTGTGGCCAGTGTCATTGGATCTGCACCACTTTGCGCCCACCATCCTGTGATCTCCCTACTTTGTGCATCATTGAATGTGGCTGCTTCAGAGTGAAGAGGGACCTGTGGACTAGTATCAGGCTTGTGGACTGGGCTGACATGTTCGCTTGATATCCAGTTACTTCTGATATTAATTTTCTTATACATATTATGAGTGTCACTGGATTTGTTTCTCTAGCTAGCCTGGCCTAACACAGTAACCATTGTTCAAGTTTTGTTTCTTCTTTTAAAAAAGCAGTTTTCTTGCTATAGTATTCAATATCATACACTTCGGTGGTGACATCACTTTGAAAAAGATTTGTATGATGAACAACAGAAACGTGGGTGAAGGGAACCAGTGGTCGCTGGAAGATGAAAATTATAATTTATCAAGGGGTCACAAGGTTGGGAGAGGGGAGAGGGAGGGACAAAGAGGAACTGATATCAAGGGCTAAAATAGAAAATAAATGTTTAGAAAATGGTGATGGTGCCATATGTACAAGTATTCTTGATACAGTTGATGTATGGAATGTTATAAGAGCTGTAAGAGGCCGAATAAAATGATTAAAAATATATATATGTACATACATAATCACAGTCAGTTCTAGTGTTCTCTCCCTCAAATCCATAAACCTGATACTAGTCCATAAATACCTCTTCTTTTCCTCTACTTTCTTCCATTTGCATTGACTAATGCCTGCTCCACCGCTGTACTTAGGAAACAGATAACTTGTACATCCACAGATGTAAAGGGATTTTGCCCAGGATAAAATCTGGACTGAAAATTGATTTAAGACTTTTGGAATGATATGATGGGTGACAGTATTTTGCCTATGGCAAAGAGATGGAATTTTGAGAACTACAGAATGGAGTGTCAGTATATTAAATTATGTCCACCAAAAAGCTATGTCCACTTGGTTGGAGTGTGATTTCCCAGAGGTTCTGCGGTTATGTAATGATGTAAGCTAACTGGTTGTCATGTGATTCACCCCCCATGATGTGAGCTGATGGGATCCGCCAGTCAGTTATAAGGGTAAGATTAGGATGTGATCGGCCAATCACTTATAAAGGGATTAGGAGAAGATACAGCACAATTATTCTGGTCACAGTCCTGAGCCCATGTGGGGTGGCCTGGTTCACCTTTTATAAGAGAGTAATGAAGACAGAGTCCAGCAGAGAAGAAGAGACCTGACTGCCACAAAGAAATGAGTCAGGAGTAGAGCGCATCCTTTGGACCTGGGGTCTGTGCACTGAGGACCTCCTAGAATCCAAAAAAAATGATGCTAAGACGCTAGAAGATCTCCAAGTACTGTTGGAGTTGTGGATGCTGAATGGAGACAAGGACCTTGCTCCTCGTCCTGTATGGAGAAAAGGCCTTCCCTTAAAGCCAGTTCTATGAACTCTGACCCTACCCTTGCTCTTAATCATAGAGTGGCTAAGGCAAGTGGATGGGAGAAAGAATGATTGTGAAGATGGTGCAGGCCGGGCAGTACTTCCTTCTGTTTTACGTAGGGTCAGTCTGAGTTGGAAGTGGCTCTGAGGGTAACAACAACCATGACAACAAGAACCTCCTAGACTGAGAAAATACAAGTCTGCTGGTGAAAGCCATCCACTTGTGGACATTGAAAGTTGCTTTATATGTTGAAGAATGTGGCATCCTGATGGAAGGAAGGCTCGTTCACAGTCCATGATACGCACATGACACTACCTTCTTGTGCAAGTGAGGCACTGGATAGCTAAAACGCTGTGTCATTTCTACTTTAAGCAAAGAGGACATTTCCTTTTCACTAATAAACAAGAAAGGAACTTTAAATGTTTCTTAGTAACCCACCTTCCAAACAAGCAACAATTTTCAGATTTTGGTGGCTGGAGAGATGGCATTTAAAATAAGGGTACAGTCTGAGTTCCTGTAAAGGAGGTTTAGTAGTGTAGTGGTGAGGCACTTGACTGCTAACTGAAAGGTTGGTGGCAGGAACACACCAGCAGCTCCACGAGAGAAGACCTGGCGGTCTGCTCCGGGAAGATAACAGCCAAGAACTCCTCTATGGAGCAGTTTACTCGGCTGTTGCGCACGAGCTCTCTATGCGTTGACATTTACTTGAAGGCGCCTAACGTCAAGAGTAACAGGCTCATTGAGCCCAACTGGGAAGATTAGAGGTTGGACGATACTGTGATGGGTCAGACTATTTGAATTGGCATTATTCATCCTAAATGGAAATGTGGAAAGTGCTGCAGAAATAATGTTCCTTTCCGCTTTGCCTTCTACTTTTAGAATTTTCTGTAGGTTCTAGTCAAAATATTTGATCAGTTTTTGCTCTCCAGCATATACTACTACTTAGATATTTCTGCAAAGCAATAACTGTGAAGGGGCCTTGCGGCCCTGGGCAGAGTTTTACCCTGTTGTACTCGGAGCCGAATGGAGGGCACCTGATAACAACGAACAACAGAGACTAATCCCTGCCCACATCTCTGTGTTCACCGCAAGATATTTAAGACGTCTTTTCTGCCCTCGCTGCTGCCACACCTGACGAGCCAGTCAGCCTCCCTGCTTTCACTGCTGCAACCTCCCGAATTCCATTGTACTGACTCACAGACCGCCGCTCTCTGTCCGAATGTGGCCCCGTGCCTCACACTGTTTCTTGTCTGTCTCTCTAACATGTTTGGGTTTTCTTTCCCCCCTCAGTTCATGACCTCCTAGAGGACTGGGCTGTTTCTGGCTTATCTCCCTCTCTGATCAGTACAGGCTATATGCAAATACTTGCTGACAAAACCTTCACACCTGGCACACTCATCCAAAATTTTCAAGTTTGACATTAGATGACTGTTTAGGTCAGTAAGGAAGGAGTGTTGAATGGTCCTCATGCTGTGCTGGGGTATCAGCATGTGCTATGGGTTACTCTCAAAGAACCCAGATCCTGTAGGACAAGGTAGAACTGCCTCTGTGGGTTTCCCAGCCTGGAACTTTATGGGGAAAACCAGAACACTTCATTGTGCTCACACGGAACCTGTGCCTTGACCAAGAGGCAGTTGTATAAACAGAACAAGGAGACTGCGTGCTTCCAAAATCAGGAAAGGTGTGCACCACAGCTGCATCCTCTCACCAGACTAATGTATGCTGAACAAATAAATCGCCGAGAAACTGGGTTATATGAAGCAGAATGTGGCATCAGGGTTGTAGGGAGGCTTATTAACAACCTATAATATGCAAATAACAGCTTTGCTTGCTGAAAATGAGGAGGACTTGAAGCACCTGCTGATGAAGATCAAGGATCACAGTCTTCCGTGTGGATTATAATTCATTGTAAAGAAGACAAACTCCGCACACATAGGTAATATGGAAAATGGAGAAAAGGTTGAAGTTGTCAAGGATTTTGTCTGGAAGCAGCAGTCAAAAGACAAGTTGCAGTGGGTAAATCTGCACAAGATTTTTTTAGAGTGTTGAAAGCAACACTTTTGAGGACCACCGTGTGCTTCATATGCATGTGAAAGATGGGCATTGAATCTAGGAGACTGGAGAACAATTGGTGCATTTGAATTTTGGTGCCTTGTGGAAGAAGATTGAAAGTACCATGGACCGCCAAAAAGACTTTTGGGCGGCTGGGGGTGATGACTCAGCATCGTCTAGCAATGCACAGCTTTGGTACTCCAGTCAGGAATTCAGGATAAAGTATCTGCATTTGCAGTCCCTCCCTGCATCATTCCATGAGCGGCCCTCCCACCCCCCACTCCCCCACCCCCACCCCCAGGAAGTGATGTGGCTTACTTTGGGAAAGACTGATATAAAAAGAGGGGTTATATGGCAGAAACCTTTGAATTCATTACTTTGGTTGCCCTGCTTAAAAACACATATTCTACTGTCTTTTCCAGGAAGGAAATTTCCAAGGTTCTTAGAAGTTCTTACCTTAGAGGAATGAATTTGGCATCATTTTTTGTTGCGAGCAAAATAATCGTGTTTGTGACTTTCACCACTTATGTGCTCCTGGGCCATGTGATCACAGCCAGCCGTGTGTTTGTGGCCGTGACGCTGTATGGGGCTGTGCGATTGACCGTCACCCTCTTCTTCCCCGCGGCCATTGAGAAGGTGTCCGAGGCCATCGTCAGTATCCGAAGGATCAAGGTTGGTGACAAGTAACTTTTGAAGACTGCAGGGGAATCGTAAATAAAATAATGCCTCAGTTTATCTAGTGTCACCTTAAAATTCAGGTTATTACCGTGCCTGGCTTTACATTCTCTTTCCTCGTGCACGGGAGATAAAAAAGGATTTGTTAGCAATTTATAGGTCCAGGAAGTTCCCTCTTGGCATTTGTGTTAGTCCAGGTAGACTAGAGAAACCAATCCAGGGAGATTCGTGTATAAGAAAGAGGTTTATATATAAGAGCAATTGAAGAATGAGAAAACATCCCATCCCAGTCCAGATCAAGTCCATAAGTCCAATATTAGCCTGTTTTCCTGATACCAATCTATAAAGTCCTCTTCAGACTCGTGGAACACATGTAATGATGCCAAATGCATGAAGATCATAGGCCAGTGGGAAGTCTTGTGGATCCAGTGGCAATAGAAGCACCTCAGCCTTGCCTTGGGTCTCCACGTGGCTCCTCCAGCACTCTGAGTTCTGGCTGCAGCAGCACAGCTGCGTTAGGCTCGTCCTCAGTAATATCTCACAGGGAGTGAGCCAGTGTCTCGCCTCCAGCAAGCTGTTTATCTCCAGAGGGCCTCCAAATGAGGTCATTAAGCTGCCACCTGCTTGACAGGCTAAACTCCACCCCTTCAGTCCTAAGTCTCAAATTGACAATACCGCAACATTGAATATGCCCAATAGGTTTATAAAAGCTCCCCATTTCAACCTCAAAGCACTGAAAATCTCCAGTAGCTTCTACATCCAGTACAAGGAACCTCTGAGGTCATAAAGTAACAAAGCTGCTTACTTTCTTACTTACCAACCACTCTGAAGTCAATCTTATTTTTGGCCTGAGTTCCCCGCATGACCAATTTTGGGGATGCCTTCATTGTTGCAGTGGCACTTTGATTTCAACTCTTTCATCACCCCATTCCAGAGAATGATTGCACCAGAACTTCTAGAGTGTTTACAAGCTGTTCATGTGGTTCAGAGTCCCACTAATTCGCTGTGAGCTTTTTAACTTCTCTCTTCACTCACACCTATTGTTCATGGACACCTGCACAAAAGGTTTACTTTCCCACTTTATAGGGTTCTTTTGTTGTTGTTGTTGAAGGAGTTGGGGGATTGGTATGCATCATTGAATATTGAACTTTATGCCTTAAACTAAATTAGAAATTTCTTCCACTAAGACAAGTTTTATGATATATGTTCCTAAATTTACATGGCCTACTGCCCCCTTTTTTGGAGGGAAAAGAAATACTCAATGCCTCCCTGGCAATTAAAAGTAGCCCCTAAAAAGAGCCCTGGTTGCATGGTGATTACTCTTTGGGCTTCTACTGCAAGGTCTCTAGTTTGAGACTTGCAGCTGGTCCTGGGCAGACCCTCTCATTTCAGGTCACCGTGAGTTAGCGTTTACTCACGGCAGTGAGGTTGGCTTTTTTAATATCCACACTAAAGTGGAGGTATCTGCTTTTGCAGCACCCCCACCCCCAATCGTTGCCATGCCCCTAGAGGTATTATGGCCCACTTTGAGAAACACTGATGACATACGTGATGTGTAACTCCTGCTGTGTGAGTCTGTACCAAGGTCTTTAATGACTTGATACATGCCAGCCAGCTGGTGGAACTCTGCTGTCATCATGTAACGCATCTGTGATGTGCTGCCTTTGGGTGAGGCATCATTATCTTATTGGAGTTGGGACCTTGCTTGTGAGCATGCACATACAAGTGTGTGAATGACGTGGCCCCTGGGGGCTTAGAAGGACAGATGCCAGCTGGTACTGCCTGCACTGGCTCAAATTAGGATTAGCATTTGAGGTGATCTTCCGAGGACCAAGAGGATGGCTGGCCAGATGAAGTGAGCGTGAACGTAGATTCTGATGGCTGACTGAAGGGGTTCGCCGCGACCCTTTAATACAGTTAGTTTCTCATGTTGTGGAACCCCTCATGTAGGGGGACCACTCCAAACATAAAATTATTTTCGTTGCTACTTCATAACTGTAATTTTGTTACTGTTATAAATCGGGCCACCCCAGTGAAAGGGTCGTTTGACCCCCAAAAGGGTTGAGAACCACAGGTTGAGAACCGCTGGGTTTGAGCATGAAAGGCTTTATCAGAGGGGACAAAGGAAGGTCACTGTGCGTTGTGTTTTGTACGGGCTACGTGGCGCTGGAAGTGCTGGGAAGGATCCAGGAAGAATAGAGACTCATGTAAAATTCTATCAGTATTTTAAGCAAGGAGTAGTAATGAGGGAGATTAGGTTGTTGTGTTAAGAAGGTTGAAGTGTTGAGAGCAGAGGTGAATCATGGTGAAATAGGCAAGAGTTGGCACTGGCTGGCTATAGAGAGATGGGGTTAGAGTGGGGCGAGAAGTCAGAGAAGCCATGGGGTTCAAGCTGGCAGAGGCATCACCCCCTGAGCGTCACCCCTGAGGTAGAACTGGCAATGCCCACGCTGACGTCGGTGCTCAGTCAGGTTGGCTGGGTGGATAGGTGAAGGGAGCATCGCACAGCTGCCAGCGGGGGCGGTGAGAGATTCATAGGCGTGAGTGGATGTACTGCGCAGTTTTCCCAACCTGGATGTCATTTTCATTTCTATATTTTACCAGCTATGTTTTTTCAAGCGAAAAGCTACTGACAGATTAACACTTTGCAAAATGATCGACTTAATGACTTTAGGGGGTGACCGGGGATGGAAAGGATGTTCAGGAACCCCGGCAGGACAGTACTTAAAGCACTCTGAGGCTAACTAAAAGTTCTGCAGTTGGAGCCCACTAGTCCCTCCCGAGGCGAAGGGGAAGGCCGTCTGCTTGTGTCAAGCCTTGCAGCCTTGGAAACTCTCCTCTGGCCTGTAGCGCTGCTGTGAGTGGCACTGACTTGCCAGCAGTGAGTGGTTTGGTTTTTGGTTTGGAGCAGTAGTTGCTCGCTTTCTTTAGCATTTTCTTTTTCCCAAACATTTCACATGCTTATTTTAGTGGCTTTCTATATTACTTGGAATTCGTTTGATCTGCCAGCCTGTCATACTGGGATGCCTTGTATGTTGCTATGAAGCTGATAAACATCTTTCTGGTATTCTCCGCTTTGGACCAAGGTTCATTCGACAGCAGCCATGGTATCCTTTGTTTCATGTCCTCTTCTGAATCCAGCCTGAACTCTGTCAGTGGACTGCTGCAACTGTTAGCGAAGCCATATAAATGTCATGTTGCAGAGTCTCGGGAAGCAATCGTTTTCGTGTGTGTGTTTATTTCTGCAACATAAGCCACCTTTGGTTTCCCTTTTCCTTGTAGAACTTTCTGTTACTGGATGAGATAAGACAGCATGACAGCCAGCTGCCGTCAGATGGTAAACCGATAGTTCATGTGCAAGATTTCACTGCTTTTTGGGATAAGGTAACAACCCCAACATTACAAGATCATTATGGCTGAGAGGCAACTGTTGTCACGGATTCCATGTTCTGTTTGCAGTACACATGATATGAAATGTGGCTTGCTCATTTAATGCTTTTACTATGAAATGCCCCAAACTGGGAATTAGGTTTCAGTGAATGAAGGTGAAGTACAAAATCAGCATAAGGTCTTCGACAAGTTGTCCTTTCCCTTATCTCCAAAAGGTTTTGCAGATTGTTATCTTAGTTTGAAGTAAGACACATAAGGGGAGATTTATGAAATGTTAGACTTCACAGGATTGGCCAGACTAGTGTTTGAAGGATTGATTGAATGAGTGGGCTAACTAATAATAATAAGGCACTTAGAAAGTGTTGGAGATGAGGGAGATTGGGGACACATTGCATGTTTTTATGGCAACGTTAGCAGATCATCTTTTTGTATATTGGGAAGTGGCCTTGCTTTAGATTTTTCTGTGGGGTTGGCTTATCCCCAATCCAAACCCATTACTATTAAGTCCATTCTAACTCAGTAACCCGGTATGGGGTTTCAGAGCCTGTAAATTTCCACCTAGGATTTGCATTTGTGGCTGCAACAGTGGGCTTGAACAGGACCATGATTGCAAGGATGACACGGGGCTGGGGGTTCACTCTGTTGTACATGGGGTCGCAGCTAGCAACAACAACAACAACAACAACAACAAATCTTTACAGGAGCAGGAAGCTTCATCTTTCTTCCTCGGAGAGGTTGTTGGGTTGAATTTCCGACCTTGGTCTTTAGGTGGGGCAAGCCTTGTGTGTGGTGCTACCCTCCTTGATGGCCACCAAGGTCAGGAAGCAGCAGCAAACTCATTCTCAACTCAAGGATTTCAGCCTGTGTGCCATGGCAGGATGGCCAGTGGCGCAATGAGGCTTGATTTATTTATGATATTTAGATAAAATTGGAATAAACAGCTTTTGGGTAGGAGATGATCACAAACCTTTTACTGCCAGTCACTGTGGTGAAGAGACAACTGATACCATGAGTGTAAAAGTTTGAGTATCCGTGATAGGAAATGTGACCTGCTTGCGCCATTGAATGCCAGCATGCTCTACAAATGCTGAACAAGTTCTTAGACTTGCAACACATCCCCTGGGTCTAAACTCCCAGTCACTCCTCTCCTGATTCTGCGGTCCTGTGCACAGAGCCCCCGGATTCAGGCTAGGTCTAATCAGGAAATGAGATCTACATCATGTAGCTGGGGAGAGGGTGTCGACTAGCGGACCAGTTGCAGCTGTGATGAAAGAGCAAACACAGTAAATATGTACCCCTCGGTGATCCAGAGATCAGCTACAGCAGGAGACTGTTTGTACATCACCACCCCCATTCCTCAGGTACGGACACAGGGAGGAGGGGCTGTCCACCAGAGGACCCGGGCAGCTAGGTGAGTTGAGACCACAGAAGGCACTGAGCTGTGGGCACGGGGGCTCTGGAGTAGATGCAGCCACTGGGCAAGAGGTGGCTTAAAGTTGGTGGGAGTCAGTTGCTTCTCAGTCCCTTTTCCTGCTCCCCAGTCTCAGACTAGTTTGCTCCATGGCTGACCTTACATTGCAAGCCAGTCTGGGAAAATGCCATTCGTAGGAGCTGATTTCCAGCTATTCTGATAGAACAAAACTGGGAAGGAACAGGAATGATGCCCAGAGCCAAGTGGCCCTTGACAGTGGCCCTTCCCTTTGAGTCCCCCTAGTGGTGGAATGCTGGTGGTACAAATGTTGAAACTAATGCCCTTCAGGTTGATTCTTAACTCTTACCAACCTGGTGGGACTGAGTAGATCTGCCCCATAGGGTGTCCGAGGCTGCAGTCTTTGTGGGAGCAGTTTTCCAGGTCCTTGCCCCCACAGAGGGGCTGATGGGGTTTAGTTGCGCATCGAGTGTTTAGTCACCGTGCCACCAGGGCCCCTCTGAAACGCTCGGCACTTTCTTTCCATGCCTGTGACTCCAAGGGCTGTGTTGCCCTGCCTCGTGTTCACCTAGTACTGATCTATAATAGCATCTGCTGCACCCACCAACATGTCCCCCAATGTGTAAAACTCCATCATTGCACCTTTTGCAAGCTGGAACGCAAAAAATGTTATTAACAAAAAACGGAACATTGCAACTTGACTCCTGTCTAGCATGTCCCCCAGTCTAGCCATCCTGGCCTACAAGGAGCATTCTGGCCAGACTTCTTCCAAGACATACTTGTTTGTCCTTTTGGCAGTCCATGGTACTGTTTCAGTAGCCACCACAATTCAGAATGCTTCCATTCTTCTTCAGTTGATCCTGGGCTGCATTTCTTTTTTCTCCATGTGTTGTGGTGGTGAACTTAGGGCTCCGGTTCCATTATTGGCCCACCTATGCAGGAGTTTATTTTCCAAGAGTGACTTTATCATGTCAAGCATGTTCTCCTGAGCAATGCTAGGAAGGATTCTTCATCAAGTGAAAATGGAAGATTTCAAATTGTCTATCAGTAAAGGACTGGGCATGCCATGCATTTATGCTGCCACCTTGTGGGTGCTATTGAAATACACAATTAAAAACTAAGGCTCATAATGAAAACTTATTAATGACTCAAAACCTTCCATGCTGAATATTTGTCTGAGGAATGTTTTTGAATAACTTACAGGGTACCATCAGGTTCTCATTTTGAGAACATTGCCCTGCCTTCCTCTTAAGTAAATTCTTTGAGTATCTAGAGTGGTGGTCCTGAGGCTCTGGCACAAGAAAGCAAGTTCTGAGGGCAGTACTTCAAACCCCACCAGGAAATTGGTTTGGATGTCAGGGGGTTCCTGGAGATCATCCCTTAAAGTAGGACTGAAAAAGATGTGCTGTGTTGATAACTGGTGTTTAATTTCTTTCTTTTTGAAGTGATTTGTGTTACTTTATGTTTAAACGGGTACTTTTTTTGGCCAACTTTTTATTTGTAGGCGTCGGAAACCCCAACCTTACAAGAGCTTTCCTTCACAGTCAGACCCCGCGAGCTGTTAGCTGTGGTTGGACCGGTGGGAGCAGGAAAGGTGCGTTAAATGGACACGCAGTCCGCCCACCTCCACCCCTCCACCCCGTCTCCCCCAGCCCGGTTTTAAATTCTCGGGTTTCAGCCCCAAACTGTTTTAACAGAATTTTGAATGGCGCGTACGAGGAATAGCATTTCCTCAAAGTGGGTGCTGCAGAACGTTCGTTTTGCAGCAAGGCGGCGTGGGTGAGAACGTGTAGCATTCCAGCTTCCTTCCTTCCGGATGCTCCAGGCTGCGCAGGTGGGAAGCGCTTTCCTGCCGGCTGGAGATGTCCGTGAAGGAAAGCACTCGTATGACCACTATTCAGGGATGAAACAGCCGAGAAAGTGGGGGCTTCTTTCTGGTCAGTACTGACCTCCACGCTTGCTGCAGGACTTCGGGAGGTGAGGCAGGTTTCTCTGAAAAGTCTTACACGTTTCCTCAAGTGCCATAGCCCCACCGCAGGGCAGCACATGTTCAGGGAGTAAGAGCACTTTCCTGCTCTGTACGTTCCCAGATTGGGGGTGGAGTGAGGGCGGGGGTGATGTGGGCAGCGCGGGGGCAGATACACTGATTTCATGTCCGTGCCACGGGTACTCTCGAAAGCGGTCTGCATACACACACTCGATGGAACTGTCCGAGCACACAGCCAGGCTCCTGCACTTGGCACTAGCAGACTTCCTTTACCTGCCCATCTAGCCTCGTGTCGGATTTACTATCCACACGCGGCTTGGCTGGCAGAACAGCTACTTTACACCCGGGCGCATGCACTACGGCTACTAGATTGCCGCAAACATTCTTAATTAGTCTGTTTATTACAACCTTTCATTTAGGGCACTCTGAAGAGTGTGGCCAACAGGCTCTGTCTGGCTTTTATTCTTTACTAGGTGTTCGTTTACATTGACCAGTACCGTTCTTTGCCCCTGTGACTTCCAGTGTCCTGTCGCTTTTGCAGGAAAGTGCTCAGGGCTGAGGGAGGCGGAGTGGCGTCAGTGCATCCTGTCTGTCCTGAGTGCTGACGCGCACGTGTCCTTGTTTCTGGTCTGTTTCAGTCCTCCCTGTTAAGTGCTGTGCTGGGGGAACTGCCCCCCCGGCAGGGGTTCATCAACGTGCAAGGGAGAATCGCCTATGTTTCCCAGCAGCCCTGGGTATTTTCAGGAACTGTGAGGAGCAATATTCTCTTTGGGAAGAAATACGAGAAGGAGCGATACGACAAAGTTATAAAGGCTTGTGCCTTGAAAAAGGTAAGTTAATGACTTTAGAGTCTCAAATACTGAGATCAGCATCAGCTATTACTAGTTTACATTACAAGGCTTGTTAAAATTTTATACTTTTTTTTAACTTAAGAGCAATGAATGCTATCTAAGGAGCCCTGGTGGTGTAGTGGCCACTCGTTAGGCTATGATCCTCATGGTCAGCAGTTCGAAACTACCAGCAGTTCCATAGGAGAAAGACTGGGCTTTCTACTCCAATAAACAATTATTCTTGGAAACGCACATGGGGTCACTATGAGTCAGCATTGCCTTGATGGGAACACGTTGGGGTTTTGATTTGGTCGCAGGGAACCAATCGAGGGGTCTGAGCGGCCGGCCCCAATCCCAACTAAGTGGACAGCCCCACCTCCCCCTAGAAGAATTCAATTCAGAGGACACCACTGAAGCTACAGCTCAGGGAGAGAGAGACATGTCTGATCAGAGCACACAGGAGCAAATGAAGGGAGAGGAAGAGAGAGTGGAGCACATCCTGGCCCACCCAGCCTTGAGGATGATATTCCCACTCAGAGCAGCCAAAGCACAGAGAGGACCATAGGGCTGGCCCCACTATGAGACACACGGCACCTCTCACTGACCCATAGCGCTACGGGGGCCAACACTGGATCACAGTGTGGGGATTACGCCCGATCTGACCCACCACACTGAGGTGAAACACTAAGGGTGTGCAACAGAACAGCAAGGGGAACAGAGCCACCAAGTCCCCAGAGAGTACCAGAAATAGACTTTGGGACCAAGGCGTGACACCCCATCAGACTCCACAGGAAAATACTTCTAAAGGTCAGGAAACAGACCTTGAACTATTTACCGGCTTTTCTTTTTTTTGTGGAGAAAACAATGGAACGATGGTTCCAGGGGAGGGGGGGGCGGGGCGGATGAGGAAGGAAGCAGGTGTTAACAACCTCAGGGACAAGGGTGTTCCTGGGACAAGTGATCTAAAATCTATGGCTAGCAGGGTGTAGTAGGCCTGGTAGGGTTTGATCAAGGGCAATATAACCGAGAGGAATTACTAAAACCCAAATGAAGGCTGAACATAATAGTGGGACAAGTAGAAAGTGAAAGGAAATAGAGGAAGAAACTAGGAGGGAAAGAGCATTTACAGAGGTCTAAATATAGGCATGTACATATGTAAATATACATATGATAATGGGGAAATAGATCTATGTGCATATATTTATAAGTTTAGTGTTAAGGTAGCAGATGGACATTGGGACTCAAGTACTCCCTCAACACAAGAACACTTTGTTTTATTAAACTGGGATTTCATGATACTCACCTTCCCAGCATGATTGCTGAAGACAGCAATGGGTGCATAAACAAATGTGGTGAAGAAAGCTGATGGTGTCTGGCTAT